ATTTCTTCTAAGGCAGATTTGTTTGTTCTATGGGCATTTCGTGGCACATTCAGCATACTTTCCATTTCTTTGCCTGCACTCTGTTAGTTACCTTGCCTGCTAACCAAAGTTGGATGATCTACTGCTGACAAATCATCGTTTTTGCCCTTTCCTTAGTATGGTCAAAGTTTCCCAGTTAGAGTTCAATGCACAATATCAAATAAAAATTGGTGACCAGATATGTCACTTTTTGTCATTGCCATTGGTGGCATTATTATCTGAGACTGACAGACTCCCCAGCCCCCATATAAATTCATAACCATCTCGTCAAATCTGAGTCATAGCGATCCTATAAGACAGAGTAGAACTGCCCCTGTGGATTTCCAAGGCTATAAATCTTTATGGGAGTAGAAAGCCTCATCTTTCTCTCTTGGAAGGGCAGTTGGTTTCAAACCTCTGGCTTTGCAGTTATCAGTCCATTGCCTAGCCCACTACACCACCAGGGCTGGCCAAGGCCTACAGAACAGCTGCTAAATGGCTTAATTTTGCAAGGTCATTTATGGGTTGAGGAAGATTCCCCGAGTGCTGGCTTTATCTATTTACTCATTTCAGGCAAACAGAGCTCATTTTCAGATATGGTGTCAATTCCAGTGCATCGGGGAGGAGGGCGTGATTCATTAGGGGATGGTAATGAGGGCTCTTTAATGACTGTGAAGCAGAGAGCCTGATAGGAACTACAGAAAGAAGTGAGGGGGATAATTTTAATAAAGCACGAAACCAAAAGGACAGCTTCTGAAAAGGCTATCAGGAAACTCTAGTAAACAGCAAAAGCAGTAACCGATTAAAAAAAAATTAGATGAGATTTTAATTAAAATGAAAGCCAAGCATGTGGAAACATCCAATAACTACTTCTTAAAGACCTCTATTAAGATAATGTCCCATCTGTTGGGTTTGGGGGTTGGCTTTGGCCTCTATTATCCTCTTCCACATCCCACTTAATTTCAATAACGAGGCTGTTTCTTTTGTTGCTTTTGGTTTACATGTTGAAGGTTAGCACATGGGGCCCCCAGCCCCCAGGAATATCAACTCAGAAAGGAAATAAAATCATATAATTTGATAGGAGAAATCTAGACAAAAGGAAAACCTGGCCTTCCTTTGGAAAGTCTTTGGAAAGATAACTGAAAGGGCTTTCAGGGGATATACAAGACACAAAATTAAACCCACTGACACGGAAACAATTCCGACTCATATTGACCTCCCAGGGCAGAGGGGAACTTCTCCCAAGAGATTCTGAGACGGTAAATCTTTGGGGGAACAGTTTCATCTCTCTCTCTTGGTGTGGCTCTTGAGTTTGAACTGCTGACCTTGCAGCTAGAAGCCCCATACTTGCAACACCAGGACTTCTGCTGAAACACTGCTCTTGATTTTCTCATTTTAGGTGTGAAATAGATGTAATTTCTCCCCTGAGGCAATGATTCACACTCTTCATTTAATGCTTCAAAACATTCTTCCTGGGACGTGGACATTCACTCCTCCAAAGTGTCTCAGACAGAAAGTTTCCCACACCCAATATTTGTCCTCAATAGAAACTTTACATGGTCACCTTGAACGCAGAAAACATCGGCTTACTGAGGTATTTAGTTCTAAGAAACTACATGTCAGACTACTTGGAGATCACTGTGAAAAATACGAAGCTAAGGAAAATTGGTATGAAAAAGCTGGTAATGAACTATGGTTCGGAAATGAAAGAAATGATGGTGAATTCAGGGCAATGTCTCCAAGAACCAAGAACAGCTTTTTCAAAAGCAAACCAAACCAATTGCTGTTGAGTGGATTCTGACTCCGGGCAACCCGAGGGCAGAGAGAACCTCTCCAGAGGCTCCTGACACTGTGCTCTTTCCAGAGGCAGCCTGCTTCACCATGCCCTTGGGGGCAGCGGTGGACTTCAAACCCGCGACCTTACCCTTAGCAGCCACCACCAATTCCAGGAAGCAAATACAACATCATACAGGAAGGGGCACTGTGGTTGCTGGGTCCTCAGATTCAATTGTGATGAGCTGTAAAGGGGGTTACATTTGGGATAATGGAGGGAAATTCCATTTAAAAAAATTAAAGTTTAATGAGGACATTATTTCCAGATCTAGTTTGTTTGTTTTTAAATTTTTTTCCTCTTTAAATTAAAATTCTATTTTCCTGCTGGTGTGGAGAATTGATTTCAACATTAAATTCCATACTTTTTCCTTGGCCACTTTGGCTCCTCCTCCCATGTAGCTATTTTATTTTCACAAAGCTCCCTGTCCGGGTTAATAATTATTATAGTTTACCTCTATTTCTCCTTGAATTCATATTTCTCCCACAGCAATATCCGAAGCTAAGCGGTAAGTAGGGTCGGTCCACTCTAGAAATCTGTGCTTAGCAAGAAAGAGAAAAGGATTTGGAAAAAATTTAAAGTGACCATAGGATATTTTTTAACAATTAGGGCTAGTTTTTCCTATAGGGCTCCTTAGATGCCTGTTAGGTTTAGGATATATGGATAATTTTCAGAGCTTAGGTCCATTTTATATATTATGAACTGTGGGGGAAATATTAGTCTCCCAATATATTTTTAATCCATGTTTAGATTCTCCCCCTCCTTAAAAAATTTTTTTTTCTAAGAATAGAAATAACTCAGGAAGCGGGATGAATCAGATCAGCCTCCTTAGTGGCCAACTATTCCTAGACCGTAACCATGGAGCAAACAGCAAGGTGGGTTGCTCCAAGTCTGTATTTGATTCTATTGGGATTGGTGAGGGATGGGAGGATTGCTTTCTTACATATTAAAAAAAAATCTCACTGCCATCAAGTCAATTCTGATTCAGACAACCCTATGGGATAGAATAAATCTGCTCCCTAGGGATTCCAAAACTGTACATCATTCCCAGAGCAGACAGCCTCATCTTTCTCCGGTGGAGTGGTTGGTGAGTTTGAACCACCAACCTTTCAGATATCACCAGTCCTTAAATCACTGTGCCTCCACACTGGATGATCCCATGGCAATCCTTACATTTAATTAGAAAGGTTAACCTTTCTCATTGAGATTTGCAATTCAGGCCTCAAAGACATAACACTTAGAAAAGACCTCCTTGCCCTCCCTCACGCCAAGCTGGAATGCCTTTACTTTTGTGGGGCACTTCGTGATTCCGAGACTGCTCAGGTGACAACTTTGGCCACCTCGTGGACATGGGGGTATTCATGGTCCATTTGTTTTTCTTTCTTTCTTTCTTTCTTTCTTTCTTTCTTTCTTTCTTTCTTTCTTTCTTTCTTTCTTTCTTTCTTTCTTTCTTTCTCTTCTCCTTCTTCTTCTTCTCTCTCTCTCTTTTAACTATATAGCACTGTGTAATTAATGGTCAGTGTCAGCAAATGCCTGGATTTTCCAACTCTTCGCAGAATTGGATTAGCAAAGATGGGGCTCTATTCAATTACCGTCCACCTAATCCTTTTAATTTCCCCCCAAAGATTTTTAGCCTGCCGCAAGTTTCTTGGAAAAAGAATCAAATGTACTAAATAGAAGAAGGGTAATCATAGTGATTAGCCTCAACAAAGGGATTGAATTCAGTGTGTTGAATGGGCTAGACAGGCCAGGTGGGGGCCTCTGCAGTGAGGAAAGTACAAAGTTTTATATCCTCTGTCTGCCAGTTCTGGTTGTGTTCATTAGAGAGAAAAAGACTACCTATCTCATTTTCAGTTTCTTCTTTTTCCCCCTATCTTTCCCCTTGGCTGGAAACAGAAATGCTGGCATGCGACTTACTTCCAGGAATAGCTCAGAGCTGATGCTCTTAATTTAGTCCCAAGACTTGCATTTCCTTCATCTTTGGAAACACTTTTCACCCCTCAATCTCTGTAATCATGACCCCAGAAAGGTTAGATGTTTGGTTCCCCAGAACCTTAGACTCTAAGACTTTGACACCAGTGGAATTAGATGGTCCCCGGAACCCACTACTCTCAAAGGGACACATTACAAGGTCCTAGGTAAAGCAGAAGAAAAATATGCAACACAACCTTGAAGCATAAGAAAGACCAGACTCACTGGGTGGAGTGGAACTCCTGAGACTATGGCCTTTAGGCAGCTTCAAGCCTGGAAATGAATGCACTCACTCAACCTTTAGCCCCCCAAAATAGAAAAGTCTGTAGGGTGAGCAGTAACATTAAGGGGGTGTGCACTCCTTAGGATTATCAAGGAGTTTGAGCATTTGAGATCAAAAGGCAGGATGATATTGTTTGGATTACAGTCCATGTCATGAGACCTAATGTGCAGGAATGGTTGAATGGAATATTTATTGATTTGCTTTGTTAACTTTCACCCAAAGCGCAACGATATATTTTTAAAGATCTCAGAAAAATTAAAATGAAACAAAATAACCTTACTGCTACTGAGATGCTTTGACTGGCTTCCATTCGAAGGGAAACATACAACTTTGTTCAACATACAGGAAAGGGCACATTTGACATACGCAAGTTCTAGCCATTCTCTAAACTGCATGAGTTGTATTGTTTACCTGTAAGAACAGCTCTTTCCTGAAAAGGAAGATTCTGTAAGCAGGTATTCTGTAAGCCCCACTGTATTAGAATGCATGCCTACTTCAAATAATGACTATCCCTTATAAGAGTGGTGGACAATTTTTATACAATTTTCACATTGGAAAACTGTAGCAGGGACTATAGAATCGATTGAGAAGACTCCAAGAAAGTTTTAGTTCTCATCATACAATTCTCGTCCTGAATGTTTTCCTTAGTGATGTTTAAAATATATCTGTGTCTGTGTGTGTGTGTGCATTTGTTTTCCTCTTCAGTGAATTGATCACATTCATTCACGGTAGAAACTTGAAAACCTGGCTCAGCACCACGAACTCTGTGTGTAGTTCATACAAACCAGGTAGAGGGTGTCCAAAGGATGTGTCACAGGCTTGTGCTAATGAATTATGAAACCTCTGCGCATGCCCCTGGCTCATCAGAACCATATCCCGAGCATTCTGGGTACTTACAGAAGCACAGTTTTCGGACTTGTCTTCCACAAAACCAATTTGGCAGGGTGTCCTCTGATTCTGCAACCAGTAATCTGTGGACTCGAGCAGACTGCTGCTACGAAGAACCTGGTAGAATGAAGACACCCCGGTCAGTGCGGTTCGGCCAGGACACAGTTTTCTAGTGCAACAAGCTACCTTCATGTTCACCTTTTCTCCTCTAACTCTAGCTGGTCATTTGGGCGAAGGTTTACAGAGCAAATCAATTTTCCATTCAACAATTCCTACACATTTTGTTTCATGTCATTGATTTCCATTCCCACTCATCCCCACTTCCTCCTGGTGTTTACGGTTTTTCCATTCCTTTATCCTCGGACAGCCGTTCCTCTTTTTTTTTTTTAATCTCAAATGGTTGAACACTTTAAGGAGGTTCTATCTCCCTAGTGCTATTGTTCACCGTATAGAATTGTCTATTGTTTGGCTAAAGGTTGGGCCCTGAGAAAAGGTGGACAGTGAGTTTTGTTCCAGGTATGAAGGGCATCTAAGGACCAGAGTCTCGGGGCTTCTCACAGACCCTCTCAGGCCAGAAAGTCTGGTCTTCTCTATGATTTTGAGTTTTGTTTTATATTTTTCTACCACCCTATCCAGGACCATCTAATGTGAAGTCTTTCAGAGTGGTTGATCAGGGTAGCAGGACACAATCTAGTTCTGATCTCAGGGACAAGGAAGCTGATGTTTCTTTGGTCCATTAGTGCCTGGGATTCAGTGTTTCCATGTTCCAGCAACTGTTTCCTGAGGAACTTGTCCATATTGTCTTTTCCTCAGGGCACGGGGACTTCAGCAAAGACTTGCTGCATGAAAGCACCCTCACTGCCATGCACTCGATGTCCCTGGGAGTTTCCCAAACTGTAACTCTATGGGACTAGAATGCCACCTTTCTACCAAAGAGCAGCTGGGGGTTCCAAACTGCGGAGCCCAATGTGGAACCGCTATACCACCAGGGCTCCTTGAAAGTCATCATCCAGGAACTGGTCTTAGACATCGTGTTAATACTCCTGTTTCTTCTCTCATCAGATTTGGGAACTTCACTATAATTTCAATAAATCACTTTTATATAGTTTGCAATCAAATGACTATTTTGGACTTTGGTCCAACTGGCCATGACCATGGGGCTTAAACTGTCTTTGAGTGTTGCTGCTCATTCTTGTGATTGTGGATATTTTTAATTTTGAAAGATTCAAAACGAGTTGATCAATGTTGCTCCTGAAATGATGCTTCGTCGTCATTTCATGAGCTTGAGTAACGTGTCTGTGAAATTAGGTCATTTTTCAGGTAGAATTTTTTTGAGAGTGCCTAGACTACTAGGTCAAGCTTAGAATTATTAGAGGTCAGGAAAGTTTGTTAAAATAATTTTCCATGGCTAAATTGTTTTGTAGAGGAAAAAGAATTGGAACACACAACTTAGCAAAAACCAGATGTGATATATAAATGTTCTTTCCTTTTTGTTTTTAACAGCAAGAACCCAAACTCAAACTCACTATCAAGTTGTCTCTTACACATAGTAACCCTAATGGGCAGAACAGAACTGCTCCTTTGAGTTCAGAGGCTTTAAATCAGGAGTCCTCAAACTACGGCCCGTGGGCCACATGCGGCCCACCGAGGACATTTATCCGGTCCTCCAGGTATTTTTGCCCCTGTTTGTTTTTTACTTCAAAATAAGATATGTGCAGTGTGCATAGGAATTTTTTCATAGATTTTTAAAAAAACTATCGTCCAGCCCTCCAACGGTCTGTGGGACAGTGAACTGGCCCCCTGTTTAAAAAGTTTGAGGACCCCTGCTTTAAATCATTACAGGAGCCAGCCTCATCATGTTTCCCCCAAAGAGTGACCAGTGGGTTTGAAACCTCTACAGCACTAGCGCTCTTAACAGCAAGAAGGAGAAGTGTTACTTCTGAGACAAAACCTTCTGAAGATACCGTCCCAGACATAAGCAAATGACTTAACTTCTCAAGTTTCTTAGCATTATCCAAATTGTAAACCACATTATTTTTCATCTTATAGAAGATTTCCAGTACTCTTGCGGTACCCTGCATATGACTAGGGCTATTATTCTTGTTGTTGGTTGCTGTTGAATTTGTTCCAAATCATAGCAAGCCTGGGTACAGCAGAACAAACCACTGTTCCATCCTGCTCCAGCCCCACGATCTTTCCTGTGTTTGAGCCCATGGTTATGGCTAGTCTGTCTGTCAATCCATCTCACTAAGGGCTTTCCTCTTTAGCTGACCCCCTACTAAGCAAGATGACCTTTTCCATGGAAGGTCCTCACTGATAACATGTCCAAAATATGTTAAGTGCCACCTTTTGGCCGTTGGTCTTCCACAACAGATTTCTTTGTTTTCCTTGCACCCGTGGCTTATGCAATAAGCTTTACCAGCACTATAATTCAAAGAACTGGATTCTTCTGCATTCTCCAGCTTTCAGGTGGGTCTGAGGCAATGGACAATACCATGGCTTGAGTAGGAGTCTGAAAAGGGATATCTTTGCCTTTAATTCTTTTAAGATATCTTTTGCAGCCGATTGGCTCAAGTTATGATGTTTGATTTCCTGACTGTGGCCTTCATGGACGTTGATTATAGCTTCAAATAAAATGAAACTTATTTCAACTTTCAACTTTTCTCCTCTGGTGCTGATGTTGCTTATTGGTCCCATTGCAGAGATTTTTGCTTTCTTTAGGCTGAGGTATAATCCATACTAAAAGCTGCAGTATTTGATCTTCATCAGCAAGTAGACATCTTTGCTTTCAGTGAGCAAGGTTATTTCATCTGCATATCCAAGATGTTTAATAATTCCTCCTTCCTCCTTGCTTCGGCATTCTTCTTTATAAGAGTACAACTGCTCAGATTATTCGCTTGGCATACAGGCTAAATAGTGTGATGAAATGGTGCGGTCCTGATACACACCTTTTGATCTCAAATGATTGATCATTCTAAGGCATGTGAATCTCCCTAATACTGTTGCCCTTAGAGACCTGTCTACTATTATGCTGAAAGTTGAGCATAATAGGGAGCGAGTTCAGTTTCAAACCTCTGGGGTTCCACCAGCCTCTATCCTACCAGTAAGCCTGGTCTCTTTTATGATTTTGAGTATCACTCCATAGGCGCCCCCCCAACTTCTCTATAATCAAAGTATTTTTAAAATGTGCCTAAACATTTCTAGTCATTTTCATTCTGTTTCCCCCCTGAGTGCTCAGGGAGTTTTGCCGAGGATTTGGGCATGTGATGTACCAACCGACAGAAGGCAGAAGCACTTAGGAGAATATAGCTATCTTCTATTTCATCAGCCATTAAAGAGTTTTGCAAAAAATGTAAAGTAAAACCATTGTTATCATGAAAAAGATTTTTTTTTTAATTCTGAAAAAGAGCTCTGGTGGCATTGTGGCACTAATACCCTAACCACAGGGCCAGTGGTTTGAATCCACTAGGAGCTCCACAGGAGAAAGTTGCGGTTGTCCGCTCCTGTAAAGACTGAACATCTCAGAAACCCACAGGGACAGTGCTACTCTGTCCCACAGGGTCGCAATGACATGACGGGGACTTGCCCCGATGGCCAGGAGATCTGAGAGATCTAGAAACTTAAAAAAAATAAAAACGTGTTACTTGTGTTTACATGCAATGTGTTCATTATCCTTCCTGGGAAAATAAATGAATATAAATATTTCTCAGCATTCATATATGATGTGGAAAACATCTGTAAGCATAATCCATCTCAACAAAAGTTTTGTGAGGTCTCTGATGGTTTTTGACAGGGCACTGACCCAGAGTTAAGCCTATTTAAATATAATAAAGCTCTCGACTCCACCTCCTGCACTGTCACGCATTTTTTCTTTTCAGAATAGAATAGCTTTGAAAAGCCTAGAGTTCAGTAGTCTAACTGCGTGGGAATTCTGACTTGGTCACAAATAGCAAGTTGACTGTGGATAACATCCTTTAAAATTCTGAGCCTCTGTTTCCATCCCTGTAAAATACAGATATCCACCCAGCTCCTGGGGCTGTTTGGGAGTATTCAAGGGATCATCGTTGAACAACACAATCCTGGAGATAGAGCATTATCTTAATACACTGGCTTTGTCATTTTTAAATAAACTGGAAAGGACAAAAAATCATCTGTCTTAGCCTGGAATAGTGGGTTGGAAGTATTTCAGATTTTTTTTACCTGATGTAGGTATAATAGCAGTTCTGCATTTTGTAGTACTAATTATTACAGCTACTATTTTGAATGCTGAGCACTGTGCTAAAATCTGACATATATAATTTCTAACTTTTAAAATGTCTTCATTATTACAATACCACCAGACAGAATGCATTGGACATTGGACTAATGCAGATGTACTTAGGGGGAAATTTAACATCTTATAATTTGGTCTTCATTTTGACTCATTTTAAAATTTCTTCTAGTTTTTATTACTTTCTACTTTCTTTTTGATGGAGGCTTTTCTGTTTTATTTTGCTATTGCTGTTCTTTTGGTATGTTTTTCTCTATATGAAATTCAGGATATGTAAATCTAATTTACATATTAGCACTAATAAATGGATCAATAGTCTTATGGTTATGGCAGTGGAGGGTGGGAGGAAACTAGGAGCTAATAATAATGAGTACAAGAAAGTAGAAAATGTTCCAAAATTGATTGAGGTGAAGATTACAAAGCTCTTTCTGATGTATTTGAACCCCTGACTTGTATATGTGAATTATTTATCAATAAGACTGTTAAAACATTAGTTTATGATAGTATATCAGGACTATAATAAGAATCTTTGTATTTTCCCCCATATACATCACTGACATTTAGAGATTATTTATTATTAAATATTCTAGCATTTAATTATTGATCAAATGTTATATTTGTTGAGAACTTTCTGGGTTACAGATAGATAAAAATCTAATCTAAAGGCTAATATATGTAAAGTACTTATCACACATAGTAAACACCCTCATAACATTAGCTCTATAATTTTTATACAGCCATCAGTCATCCATGGTGGACAGATTTCAACAAAATTTCCAGACTATTTCAGATGGTAAAAAGGCCTGTTGATCTACTTCTAAAAATTAGCTAATGAAAACCCTGCATA